TCAAAGTTTCTCTCCATTTAGATAACAAACTGCCTTCCTATTCCTCTGACCAAAATAGATGACCTCACACTTATCCATGTTAAACTTCATCTGCGAAATATTGGCCCATTCACCTAACCTATTCATATCCATTTGTAAACTTATTTCTTTAGCAACTTACTTTCCGACCTAGTTCACTGTTATCTGTAAATATGGCTATAGTTTTTTTCTATCCCCCAACATCCAAGTTATTAATATAGATTGTAAATAGTTGAGGCCGTGAGGATCGAACCTTGTGGCATCCCACTAGTTGCATCTTGCCACTAGATCCATTTATCTCAATTCTCTGCTTTCTATTGGTTAGCCAATCCACCTTTCAAACTAACAAATTATGCCTAACCCTATGTGATCTTAACTTGTACGTTAACCTTTGTGTAGCACCTCATCAAATACCTTTTGGAAGTCCATATATGCTACATCTACAGGACTCCCATTATCCACATCTTCAAAGAACTCTAGAAAATTAGTAAAAATGTGATTTACTCTTCATAAGACCATGCTGACTATGATGGATGGTATTTTGACTTTCCAAATGCTCTATTATTTTCTTAATAATAGATTCCAGCAATTTCCCAATGACATGTTAAACTAATTGGTGTCTAGTTTCCTACTTTCTGTCTCTCCCCTTTTTTGAATAATATATTTGAATATTAGCAGTATTTGAATCCTCTGGAGCCTTTCCCACATCCAGGGAAGATTGGAATTATTATAACCAATGGATTTACTACCTCTGTCGCTACTTCCTTTAACACCCTAGGACATCAGCCAATCAAGTTGGTCAGACATGAACTTCCGTTAACAAAACCATGCTGGCTGTTTTTAATTAATCACTGTCACTCCAAGTGCAGATTAATGCTATCCCTCAGATTGCTTCCAATAGTTTCCCCACCACCTTGTTCCATTCTGGAATAATGGAACCAGTTTTGGCACCTGCCCTGTGACCAGACAGGAATTGAAAATTATTGCTAGTGTGCCATAGAAATATTCACAGCTTTGTCAAAACTCATTTCATAATTCCTGGCCTTTGTCTTACTAAAGGTTATTTTTCGATTATCGAGTAACTTAAACATGTCGGAAAATGTATGTTTAAAATCTTTTTTACACTGTTATCATTAAAACAAGATCCAAATGAAGTTAGACAATACTAAATTTTTCAGCATTGACGGTACAGTGAATTTTAGTAACGTTCATTTCTAACGTAAAAATATCAAGCCTTAATTATTATTATGTAAGCTCCATGGATGCTGCAAGACTTGCTGACTTTCCCTAGAAATTACAAATGCAGAAGGTCTACTATGTGGCAGGAGCAACTTTAAGATATTTCGCAAAACTGGGGTCTTTTTCGCATGGATGCTGTTTGTAAGCTTACTCAAAGGATTTCAAAATCCCCAGAATCATGTTTGGCCTTGAATATCATTTCTGAACTAAGCTATAGGTTTAGGAAGTACAAGAAGCAGAAGACCTGGTCTGTTTATAAGCATCCCTTTTCCATAAATGAATCAACTTGAATTCAGCCAACAACTTCACCAAACTACTGCAAACACACAAAAACAGCAAACCCAAATTAAAGAAATAAGCTATTCAAATTGCAGAAAACAGAATATATAGAATTGTGGACACTGAAAATCTGAAACAAAAAGTAATTTCTAGGGAAAGTCAGCAAGTCTTGCAGCATCCATGGAGCAAAAACAGAGTTTGACAAAGGGTCAGTGGAACCAAAATGTTGAACCCTGCTTCTTCTGCACAGATGTTGCCAGATCTGCTGAGTTTCTCCAAATATCAGTCTCATTTAGCACTGTGCAAGCCAAATAAGGAAGGTTCAGCAAACTAGAATAAGAATGTTTAATCTGTGGCATCACAAGAATGTGCCAGTTTGTTTGAAAAGCCAATGGACTCAGAACACAATGCTGTAGGCACAAGCTATTGCTTTAATTACCAACCTCTTTGATAATTCGCTCAACGTGAAAATCATGAAGGATCAAGGTCCATTTTTTAATATATGCCGAGTTAATCGATCTTAGCCAAGACAATGATGAGGCTGCATTTAGTTCCAGTGTCCTTGGCTGGAGGAGAAAATGCAAGAAACAGCTGCAGTTCCACTTCTGACTGCTATCCAACAACTCCTGTTGGAAATCAAACAAGTATGGATGCCAAATGACAATAGGATTAGGGTCAGTTGCGATGCCTTGTACTGCAAAATACCATGCCAATTTCCCCACCAGGATGATACATACTGAAGGCTCAAGTAGTTAACATCCCGGAGGGTCAGTGCTGTCACTGCACTGTCATTCACCAGAAAACTAATCAACTGATTTGCAGTTATATGAGTTAGGGACTTACCTAATATTACAAGCAAGAATTCTCATCTCACGATGTTACATTCCAACTTTCTTATCATGATTCAATGAATTGATCTGGGAGTTTTATGGTGGGTCACTGGCAGCATCTCAGAGGGGCACAGCACTCTATTTGATGAATGATGAGCTGACAGAGGCTGATCCATTCCTCTTCAACAATCATGTGAAACTATGTCTTTCCACTGTGGTGACTGAAGAACAGCAACATTGGTGACAAGAATCAGGTATAAAATACAAAACAAACAAACCTTGTTTGCTGCTTTAGCAGGATGGTTGTTTATTTACTGTGGATGAATGATTCTCTTTTGTTGGACTGAAATTGGAATTTATAGAAACACACATGGTACAACAGTGTGTTGATCTCTGTACTCAAGTTGAGTGGAAGAAATCCCTCTCTGCTTAAGGTTGCTGTTGTAAGGATACCGCCACTGTGCAGAATTGGTAATGTAAACCTACATGAGACCAGTCTGGACACCAACACATTAATTTTTTTTGGAATTCCAATCTCCTAGTGGAGAAATAGCATTGGAACTTCAGCAGAACACACATATTTTCACAATGCAGCACATTTAAGATCAAATGAGTGGCAAACATTTTTAAGATTTTTAATACATTATATGCACATTTAAAACATTTCATTTTCCTAAATAGGAATTAAGAATTTGAAATACAAAAGAAATTCTCAGATTGGCCACCAATTTCTATGGAAAAAATAATATTCCCCTTGTAGATTCACTGTACTGATTCAGTTGACCTTTTTTCCAACTAAAGCCATTTAGTTATACAGAACAAACTACAAAATAATATTTATATATGATGCATTAATGTGAAACAAAAACTGATACATTTATAATCAAGGCTTTTTTTTTCAATTGATTATAATGGAGGGTAAATTTTGCACTAACAGGAACAACCCACATCAATTTTACCTTGAGGGGCATGGCACTCTTGGTCAGCTCATGCCAAATGTGTTCTATATGTAACATTATGGACATGACGATGACAGCAACAATTTAAAAGCCGATCGTTTCCTTCCAAATAAACTGATGTAAAAAGAATTCAAATACTGACTGGTCATTGTAACGCAAATTACATAGGGCACATTCTAAACACATGTACTCAACAAACAGATGTATACATTCTACAACAGTTTTGCATATTTAAAACCAGATTAATCATTTTAATAATCCTACGAAAATAGTTACTGCCATAGTACTGATCAGAGAGTCCAGCTTCGATAGACACTTTCTTTAGGAATTAATGCAAATCAAAAATTAAAGATGAATAATTACATATATTATAATTTTAAAAATTAAGGAAGGAATGACGTTTATATTGATTTATCACGTTTACCAGCTAAACTATACACAAATTCATGCCGTTCATGACAAATCTAAATAAAAGAACCATGTTGTAGCATGAAATCAGAAATCAATTTTTTTTCCAAAATCTATTACAACTCCAAATTATTAATCAGATAACTTACACTTATGTTTTCAGGTATCTTAGATGATGCCAAATATACCATTCACACACTATCCTCATAGTCCTTTTGCGAAACAGCAAAGGTCACAACACAACTCACGATAAATAAAGCCTTTCCACACAGGGCTTCGCAAAGAAAATAAATAAAATTAAAAACAAAGACACGTGTCTGTTCCCAAATTTTGAAGTAGGTTAAGAAAATTAAAAGGCAGGACTGGCAAGATAAGTTTTGTTAGCGCTGTCTATCTCCCCGCAACGATTCACCATTTGCAGCGACGGAAACGACCAAGATTCTCCTTCTCGCACCGATCAAGATTGACTGTATAAATTGGTCGCTCCAGTTACCGGCAAACCTTGTGAAGGAACAGCTCGACCCCGAAGGAATGCTTTTGTGACCAAAGCCCCTGACTTCCGAAAAAAAAGAGAAAAAAAATGAGCATGCTCTGGTGGTTTCTTTCTTTTTCTCTCTTTCCCCCTTCCTCTTTTTTTTCCTCTCTCTCCTCCTTCAGACCGTCTTCGGCAGCCCACTTTCAGTTTCGAACAAAACTGCTCGAGGGGGAGGTTTCTGCCTTGTTGTTAGTTTTGTTGTCGGGGACATTGTATTTCAAAGTGGTGAAGGGTGGATGCCTTGAGAGAGAGAGAGAGAGAGAGAAAGAGGGGACAGAGGGGCTGGGCTGGGTCCCGGAGCGCGCGCGGTATCCGTCTGTCTCTCTCGCTACATTTCCTTCCCCTGCCCTCGCTACATTGTAGCTGCGCTCATTCCTGTAACTGTGCGTAATGTCAGCTCACCCCAACCCCCTCCTCCTACCGAACCCAAACCATGCGTCAGATCCATCCGCTTAGCACAAGCTCACAAAAAAAGCGACAACCACCACCACACAAAAAAAATCGAAAACCGTAAAGCTTCACCTCCCTACGCTGACACGCGTGTCACAAATCTCACGCAAGGTTTCCCTCCCGCCTTTCATTTTATTTTATTTTTGCATTTGCAAAATGTGGATGGTGGAGGGAGGGTGATTTTTTTTCTCTCTGCTCTCTGTGTGTGAGTGTATGTGCTTGTTGTCGGGCGGGGGACTCTGTTTTTGGTGCGGAAGGAGTCGCTCTGTTGGAGGAGTCGGCTCCTCTCTATGTGGGTGAATGGAGGAGAGTCTTCCTGGAGAGTAAACACTCACGCACAGACTAGCTGATTACATCGGATCTCTCACCGTTTAACACTAAAAAATCACCCCCAAACATGCCTGCTGATACTAAACAAATCTATGAGTTGGAATCTGGTGAGTAAACACATGAAGCAGAAAAGATTATGTGGGTTATTTTTAAATTTACAGCCACCATCAGGCATCTGATGACTGAACACTGTCTTATTATTTTAATAGAATTGTACTTCCTAATAGCCAGATTTTTGGCATCGGGACCCTGTCAGAAGGCGACAGAGGTGAGTAAATCTACCTTTTAGGGTTTGATAATGTCTTGTGGCTGATTTTTATGTACAATAAACGGGTTTTCTCTGCTCTTTCAGGTCCTGATACGCGAAGTGGAGGAGAAGCAGGTAGGCTGTATTCAGCTCGCATTCTAACTCTGCAGAGGACTTTTGATTTTAATTTCAAACTATCGCCTTTTGATATTTTAAGAAAAGATGCGTGGCGAGGATTTTGGGAGGATTTGGGGGATTGTAACCATGTTTTATTTTTTCCAGCTGCTGCCGAAACGAATAGACTGGAAGGGCAACGAGCATCCCAGGACCTACGAAAATTTGGTGAGAGATTCATATCACTGAGAAAACTTTTAGAGAGGAAAAATTGAATCTCCCGCAAAAATTTTACTAGGAAAACCGGATTAGCCCCCCAAAAATAGCGCTTTAGGAAGAAAAGAGAGCAGCCAGTAGTGAGTGGGAGATGACTGGGAATGTATTAGAAGATTTGGATTAAAATTATGATTATCAGAAAAAATATGTAGTTTTAAGTATAGTGGAAATAAAGATACGTCATGATTATTGTGCAGGAGCAGGGCTGCCCGAGTGACTCGAGCGCTCAATGTGGTGAGAAAGCAGCAGTGTGCAGGGAGGCGCTTTGACTCTCTCTCTCTCTCTCTCTCTTTATATTCTCGTAGCACTAATGCAGCTTGGCAACGCTGATTGGTCTGAAAGCTTCTCTAGTTCATTTACAGATCTGCACACAAACACACACGCAAAATCAAAACAACATCAGAATTTACAGAAATGAGTTTTATTTTTGCAACAGCGAATTTATTCACATCCAGAAAAAAAAAAGCAGCCTCGGGGATTTGTTTTTAAAAGAATGAGCGCATAGTTAAAATAACTTGGGTGGGGGGGGAGATGAACTAGAGTTTTGGTTGATGGGGAAATTTTCCAGATTCTTTGAAAAAAAAACAAACGATTCAGAATAGATATCCTACATTGTATGAAATGCTTTCAGGTCAGTAATGGGATGGATAATTTTGTGAATTCTACTTGGCAATAATTGTAGTATTGCTGTGGCATGGATGAAGTTCATTAATTTTAAGAATATGTTTAGATATACATTATCATATTGCCAATATGAATACAAATGATTAAAAAAATTACTTGCAAGTCAATACTTCAGAATTCTGAACCATAAAATACCAGAACTGAAAGCAAAACTGTGTTCGGAAACTATGGTGAAAGGATTTTTTTGATTTGTAAGCAGTGTAAAATTGAAAACATTGCACCTGTCCAGTTGGTTGAGGGGTGTGGATTTGGGGAGAAGAGGAAGGAAAGAAGAGTGGGAACATGCATATGTGAAAAGGAAATCTTGGTGGCACAGCATTTTTTTAAATTTAAAAATCCAATTATATATTTATTTTTGCATGCAAAATTTAAATACTCGTACCCTTTACATAGAATGGATAAATATTTTTATTAAGGCTAAAATTGAGATTATTTCAAGTTTTGTTTTGGCAAATGTTTCAGGATATTGCTAATTTGGTCCTATATCTGTTGCAACAAGATTCCAGGCATCTGCCAAGAGAACAGTGCACATATATTCCAACTTTTATGCAGTTCAGTAGCTTTTTTTTAAGCATAAATTCTGCACAATTGTTTCTAAGGTACTGGCCAAATCACTGAAAATATTGCAGAATCTTTTCTTAAGAGTAAGCAAAATTGTATGTTGAAAAAGGTCAGTAATGGGATGTATGGATTAAAATCAGTGATTTTTGGCCTCAACTGCACAAGGCTTGAAGATATACTCTACCTAAAGGAGACCTGTTTATTCAGAATATTTATGAATATTCTTTTTATTAAAAAAAAATCTGGCAGACACGTTGTGTGAATGTATACAGTTCTTTTGTATATTTTCCCCATTGCTAAATTTGGATTGGAAGTGAATTAATCCTTCTGAGAATGTTACTTTTGATTGGTAAAAATAGATCTTTTCCCTCCTCAACCTGGCCTTCTCCAAAATAGCCCATCAGAACTGCATGGTGAATGGATAATAGTTTGCTAAACTTTGTGTGCACGTGTGTGTTTACACCAGTTGCCTGTTACAGGTACAATCATATAGATGTTTCTTTCTGATTTAAATTCGAAGAAAACCAAATAAAGATGTCTGTTAAAATCAGCATTGAAATTCTGTGGTATTTTTGAAACACAAATAAATGTGATGAGTACAATGTTCAAATTTATACTAAATACCGTAAAGCTTTGTGCATTTGCCCCTTTTTACTTTTTTATTCAGGAAATGTTTCCTGGTGCACATGTTCACTAAAATGAGATCTCTGTTCTGTAAAGTGATGATTTGAGAAGGGACTTGTATTCTGGGTGTCAGTTTATTACAGTGACAAATCATCCCCTTTAATGGTTGCTGGCAGATAATTTGCAGAAAGCTAAATATTTAAATCATCTTATTTTGGAAAATATTCATCATCAAATTTCTGATTTAATTTAGTCTTTACAATATTGCATTCAAACCATTTCTTTAATAAAATATTGATAAATTAAACTACTGTAGAAGCATTGCTAGTGTTTTCTGTGGCCAAAACCAGACTTGAAATCAAATTTGATTATTGTTTTTTTTTAAGGGAGTTTGTTGAAAGTTTGCACCACAATATTGCAGGGTTGCACGTACAGGGTAGGGTGTCGGTGTGGGTGCAGTTCTTTTTCTGAGGATCATTGTGGACTCGATGGACCAATGGCCTGTTCCCGCACTGTAAGGATTCTATGATTCTTGTATCTCTGTCATATCAAACATTGTAAGCTTCAAACAGAGATATTCCCTATCCTAGTGAGAAAGTACTCAAACATTCCCTACCCAATTTAAATACAAGATTCTTTAAACTTACAGATGTTTTGGAGGGATTAGGCCACATGGTTTAAGAATTTATTGTCAATCTAATGTTAAAAGAACGTATAAATATACAGTCCTACAGATAATGGAAAACCATAAAACATTACATTTTTCTAATTAATTAACATTTTCAAGTGTGTAACTTTTTATAGTCTTTTTTTAGCAATAAAATGTGTAATAAAATAGCTGAGCATGTTGTTTTAAAAAATTCCCCGAATGCTTTCTCTCTACATTTGTTTTAATTAATTGTTCTGAAGGATAGGGTAGTTTAGTTTATGGAGATTGTTGTGGACGCCAGCAACATTAGTTCTTGACTGAAACGTCAGAACATTACTGAATTGTTTGCAAGTGCTTTTTGTTTGGCCATATTTCCATCTATTTTGAAATAACTTTATAGCACTCTATAAACACTCTGAAGAAACTGTACTTGGTACCACTTATAAAAATGTCTGCGTCTTTTTGTGCCACTTTCTCAATTTTAAGGCAATTTCCTGGGTTTCCCTTTGCTTATTGTAATCTTATATACCATCATGGGAACGCATCTTGGCTACAACCTTCCAAGGATTAAAAAACCCTAAATTTCTCTTAATCCTTTTTCATTGATTATTATTCTTGAGGACATGGAAGAACCTAACAAAAGGGCTCACCGTTCTCAGGTGAAGCTCAATTATGAATACTAATGAATGGTGTAACTTGTACCTATGTGTTTTATTGTGACATAATGTCACAATCTGAGCTCACTAATACATATGTGACATGTAATAGAATGTGAACTAAGGAGAGTTATCCTGTGCTTATGGCAGATGTGTCTGAATTTCAACTCTGTTTTGGAAAGATTTTGTGTCCTTTAAATTTAAAATGTGACTTAAGAATTGTGCATTTTTAAAAAAAATTGAAGTCCAACTCTAGATTACTCCAGGTTGGTGCAAAATCTGCATAGGATTAAATTTTACCATCATAGCACGTACCCCCTTTCGCTTGCTTTTGATTGTGTAACTGAAATATGCTTTTAGATCATTTTGAACCAATACATTTTTAACCTCAGGCATTGCTTGACAATTTACCGCCATAAATGGCCTATATTTTTGGGAATCTCCTTTCTTTACAACTAATTTTATAAAATGTCGTCGTCACATTTTGAGTGTTTTTTGTGCTTTTGGAAAATCAAAACTACGCGTTTAAATTTTTTTCAATGATCACAAAATAAACTATGTTTTTAATTTTAACAAAATGTCTTCATGCAGGTACATTATGTATTCCCCGAGTAGAAGCCTAATATTTATGGCATGAGTGAATAGATTAACAAACAAGTGCTTTTAAATGTGATACAAACATTCATGGGTGTTGCATCTCTACAATTTCATGTCTTTGCTTGCAATATATATAAGTAGATTTTTTTTTGAAAAGACAAACAACATAATTAAAATGTAGTATTGATGTGCACATGCAGCTTTTTGGGGACTTTGACATGTTTTTTGCAAGATGTATGAGATGGGCTGACACAGCTAAGTTGCAGGACCTTTTTGCCTTAGGCCAAATATGAATATAAAACAATGCATCACAAAACTCTCAAAAGAACTTTTTTTTTTCTCATGGCTATTTAAAGTGTTTTTAACAGTGAGTTTCTTAGAATATATTTTTAAATCTGCGCAGCAGATGTAAGGACTCAAGTGATGTAGAGTAAGAAAAGTTTAAAATTATATAAATTTCAGACAGAAGAGGCTACATGGGTAGGTACAACACTGATCTATTAAATTTACCTGTTAGTTGTCCTTTTGGCTTTTTGTCCACTCAAGTACAGTAATTGTAAGCACACTGTATATTGTAATCTTTTGTGTGGAAATAATTCTTAATTATCTCCACTTTTATATTTTCAATATAAAGTCCTAACGCAGTACCTTCATCAGACATATTTGGTGAACATGGAGGTGATGTTGTAGTTTTGGGTGGGAAGACCCATCATCAATTTCTGTGACGTTGTGCTGAGAGATCTCAGCAAACAAATTTTCTGCCCCTGGGGTGTTGGTCCGAAAGGTAGGCCCACTAGTTGCCTTCCTACAGTGGTTTGCTGAGCCTTTCTGAAAAGAGATATTGTGGGTGTCGCATCAGCTCTTCAGTCAGCAAGCAAACCCCCCTCTGCCGCAGCAAGATTCCTCTCCTAATTTCTACCTCCTGCTAATAACATGTGGAAATAATTTTCCACTATTTATTTTCTCAAGTTTAAAATAATATGCTCCTATAGATTTTTTTTAAACTCCTGTGTCATTGATTACATCTTAGTTTTTCACTTCCTTGTATTATTTTGATTTTTCTATTATTGTAGCAAGTTTTTATTCCAGTAGCAGAAAATATTCAACTTTTTATAATTGTTCTGTTGCATCATTGCTGCTGGGAAAATAATTTGTGTCATTTTTTTTAAGAAAAGCTATTTTGAAATGTTTACATTCTGGGGTAGTGTAGAGCTATTTTCTTAATTTAATGAGCATCTTATTCATCTGTTATAAATTCGCTAGGCAGTAAATTCACTAGGCAGCAAAATAAGCTATCAAAATAAACATATTCTGAGACATAAACATTCATATTGACCCCTCCCAAAAAACTTGTACAAATTTTGCCTTTTGATTTTGTTGTCCTTTGTTGGATTACAATGCTCAGAATGTTGGCCCAAGTTAAGTGCTGTTCATGAGTTAAGCGACCTTTTTTATTTCTTGAGTCCTGAAGAACAGTAGACTTTGTGGAGGCCCTGCAGCTATTCTGGTGAAAGTTAAAATGGACTTGATGGCTGTAAAAGGGTTATTCAGTTTAGAGAGTCTGTGGTAGTTGATTCCATTGTCCATCACATCGGGAGTAGGAAGACGGTGTGGGACAGTGCTGTACGTTTGAAGTTCTTTATGCTGGGCAATATTTGGATGGTGAGCATGCCAAAGATTGAAGTGCCGACTTTATTACTTGGTGTTATTCCTGCTCCACCTGCCACCAGCTTCTTCAAATATAAAATTTAGGATTCTATCCCAATTCACTTTTTGGATACATCTGGGATGACGGTGAGCCATGCTTGATCCATTTAAGGTATGAGGCAGAGAGTGGCCAAATCAGCCCTGGCAGTTCACGAAATGAAGTAAATTACCTGTGGTTTTGATGTTCCTTTTGTAGACCCAGAAGGAACCCAAATGGAATCTGGTGTACCACTTCTCCTGTGATTGCAATCTCCTCCCTTTTCTTAGTCTGAGCTGCAAGCTTAGTTCTGCAGGGGAGTGACCAACTTTCCATCTTGCTGCTAACCCTATTGGCAAGATGTTTGCAGATTTCTGATGTGCAGATGAGGTAGACTTCTCCATCTGACTCAGGCCTCTACCTGAGGATATTGACCAATTATTTTGCCTGGCCGATGTCCATCAACATGAAATTGGCCCATTTTGGTTGTTCACAGAAAAGACATAATCTGTAGAGCATTCTCTATGGCTGTTTATCAGGCTATGCTTACTGGTTATTATAATTTTGTTATTTTAATTAAGAGTTTAGTCTTTTTTTTGTTTCTGCAAAGCAGATATATAGATACTTCAAACTAGAAGGAGAATAGCTTAACAAAGCATTATTGTTATTGTAGACGCTCTTACCAACATTGTGTGTGCTCAACCAGCCAAGCAAAATTTTTTTGTATTCTCTATCATGAAGACTTCCAGCATCATACAAGTATGAACAATATACATATGGATGGATAGCTTAATAGACTTGTCACAGAGCTGTTCATTTTTCCAAATTGGAGAAAGAGAAACAACAATAGCTTGCTTCGTGCTTCCATGATTCTTGGTTCTATTTCCTTTTCTTTTTCTGTCTGCAAGAACTCTTTGACTTGACCTTAAGTTCTCTGTCTGTCCTCCATGCCATCTTCTTCTTCATGTGTTTATTCTCCTCTTTCAAGGACTCTTTGCTGTAGGAGGTTGGGTGTGTGAATAAGCTGAAATCACTTTCCATGATCAAAATTTAACATGTATGGTGAATCACGTTGTGACGTGAGCTTTCTTTTTGTGTTGAAGAATTTGCTATCTGTTACAGAAAATCACTTCAGGAGTGCTTTAAAAGAATGTGATGCCTTTGATTTAAGCTTTTAAAATTTGAAATACGTTAATTGTTTCAGTAGTTGAAGTATTTTAATTGAGCGTTATGTATTTGTTGGGGATATTGGGACCTTTGTTATAGTTCGCCTGCATTTATACCATTTAGAGTTTATTTTGCTTCACTGTCATTGCTTGTCAATGTGTGAAGCCAAAGGACTGTGCCTTCAATATATACTGAAGTGATCCCAATCTGTACTTTATCCAAGAAAGTAATTTCAGTTATTTCTTCTGGATTTCAGTAGAATAAAGATCCTTCTTACTCTTTCCCATGATGCATTAATCCCGATGTGTCACAAGTGGAAACATAGACAGTTAACAGGCAGAAAGTAACCATTTGGCCCATCATGTCAATGCTAAGGGAAAAACTTGATTTGGCCTAATCCCACTCTCCAGCTTTTGGTCTATAGCTTTGGAGGTTATTGCACTGCAAAAACATATATCCGGGTATGTTTTAAATGTGATGTAGTTTCTGCCTCTAACTTTCTGACAGTAAATTCAAGATACCCACCACACTCTGGGTGAAAAAGTTTTTCCTTGACCCTCTGCTAAATTTTTCTGCCAGCTAATTTACATCTGTGCCATTGACTTTTCTGCGAAGGTAAATAGGTTTCTCCTATCGATCTAGTTCAGGATCTTCATAATTTTATACAAAGCTCAATTAAATCTTCCTTGGCTTTCTCTGTTCCAAAGAAAAGAACCTTAAACTTGTCAAATCTTCTCTCAGCGCTAAAATTCTCTGATCCTGACACATCCTAGTAAACTGTATTTGTAATCTCTGTAATGCAATTGCATCCTTCCTGTAATGTAGTGACCAACACTGTAGCTGTGATCTGACTAAATGCTGTATACCATTTTAGTATAACCTCCTTATCCTATGCTTAGCTAGTAAAGGGAAGCATATTGTATGCCATCCTGGCCACTATGCCTGCCTGTTTTACCTTCAGGGATTTGAGGACATGTATTCCAAAACTCCTCTGTTCCTCCATGCTTCTCACTATCCTACTCTTCTTTTTTGTTTATTTTCTTGCCTTGTTTGCTGTTCCTAAATGCATTGGTGCACACTGTCTGGATTGAATTCTATTCAGCATTTTTCTGTCCAACTGATCCGTTCATTTGTCTTTAAGTCATCTACAGCTTTCTTCTTCAATACCAAGTTTTGTATCCAAAATGTGTTCTGCGCAGAGCAACAATGAAAATGAAATTTAATATTAAGATCTCTAGAAATGCTTTGCTATTCAAATTTTCTGGCAATTTATTTTCATGTGATCTGAGTAGCAGTGCTCTGAACTATATTTAAAAGATTGACAGCCATAACTGCTTTCTCAAGTCCTCCTGTCTAACTAGATATGTTGTACAGCATAGTGTGCAAGCTGGAGAACTTCTTTGGTCCATGCTGTAAATAAAATGTAGCTGGGAGAGAAATGTATTACATAATATATATAATATGTATATTAACGTATGTATGACTCAGTACATTGGTAAGATGAAAGTATGTTGTGTTTATTTTTTAAATGAAAAAGCATTGAAAAGAAAAAAGTCAATGCTTTTGTATTTTAAAAAAAAATCCAAAGGCCCAGATTTTATGGTCATAGTGAAGTGTTGGTGTTTGCTGCTGACCTCAAAGAAAATAGTCTGCAAAGATAAACTAGTGTTAGTTGGCATAAATGTTTCCATTCCTGACACCGATTTGAATCTGGCAGAATGAGTTACTTGCCCTTAATAGCTGAGGCTTAGAATACAAGAGTTGAGAAAATGATGCTGATGCTGGCTGGTTTGGAGGATCTGAGCATTGAAGAAAAATTGGATAGGCTGAGTTTCTTTTCTTTGAAACAGCAAAGGTTTAGAGAGGATCTGACAGTGGTGTATGGATTATGAAGGACATGGACAGGGTGGATAGGAATGCACTTTTTCCGTGAGTATAGAGGTCAATAACCAGGGATCATAGATTTAAAATAAGAGGTACAAGGCTAAGAGGAGAGTTGAGCATAAATTCATTTCTCTCAGAAGATGGTGGGAATCTGGAACTCATTGCCTGAAAGGATGGTTTAGTCAGAAACCCTTGTAGCACTTAAGTTGTAATCAGACAATACTTGCATTGCCATAGCCTCACAGGCTACTACCCAAAAGCTGGAAAATGAAATTTGTGTAGTCAGATCTCTGATGCACAGTGTGGATGCAATGGGCCTAATGACCTCTTTCTGAGCTGTAAACATCTATAAATCATGGAATCTCTGGGTGTCCAGTAACCAACAGGGTAAAGAGCAATCACGTTGAAGTATAGGCACAGACCAAATCAGGAAGTAAATACATTGATTAGCCTTCACTTTATTACCATTTTACAAAGAGCAAAAATAAATGATTGGGGCACAGAACTGGGATCAAAGCAGAAACTGAATTGTGTATTTTATTAATTGTGTAGTTTTGATCAGAATTCAGAAATTTGATATGCCAAAAATAATAAAATCACATTTAACGGCCCTTGAGGTTTCCAGAAATAGTTATGAACACAGAGTAACAATCCAGCTTCACCTCATTTATCAAGATCAGTTTTTTAAGGGTTTTGTAAGGAATCGACAGCCTGAGCGTTAAAGGGCAAACTTTTTGATTGTAGCCTGTGGGGACTTCAATAGCGTACCCTGTGGAGAAGCGTGGAATCATTGACAACCACTTCTGATTTTTATTATTAACTGTGCATGTCTGCATTCAAGAATCACCATCACTTTTAGAGGAGAGAGAATGGTGAATGTTGACAGTTTAACCATCATTACCGTGGCAAAAATGTTCTTTTATAATGCATGAAGCCTAGTATCTGATAACTTCTCATGCTTATTTCTGACAGCACTTCTTTTGTTCTGTTTACTAAAAAGGTGAAGACTCATAGACACGTGGCTCCAGATCATCTCCTTCAAATATGTCAGCGACTTGGACCTCTCTTAGAGAAGGAGACCCCACAGAGTGTTCCAGGGGTACATTCGTTACTGGGAGCTGGAAGACAGTCTTTGCTTAGAACAAACAAAAGTATGAACAGCTCAGTAGTAAAACAATATTATGCATCTTTCATGGTTGGTTTTGTGGTGATTCTGGATTTCTGTTAATTTTTGAAACAAAACAGGTTGTAAACATGTGGTATGGAAAGGATCAGCACTTGCGGCATTGCATCGAGGAAGACCCCCTGAGCCACCAATCAATTATGGTAGCCCACCTAATATAGGTATGCTTTTTATGTTTATGTTGGGTTCAGTTTTATTTTGATAGTGGTCTCGCTGCCTTTTGCATTTTTCGTGGAATTAAGTGAGGTCTGTCAATACTGGTAGAATTGCGTAACCTTCAAGTTTTTCCATCATTAGGTGTCATACAGTGAAGTATATGGTTTACCTATTTTCCTGCAATTTATATATTTGAATGTAGAATTGATGTGCCGGACTGAAAGAACATCATTACTTTTGTATTAAAATGAATGATGCTACCTGTCACTCAGTGAGGTGTGAGTTTATTATCATTTCATGCTGAATTATAAGCAGGTTTGTGTTGTCAGTTAGTACCCCAATAAAAATTGGGTAATGACTGCAGTTGTTCGTTTGCTCGCTGAGCTGGTTGTTCCGTGATGTGCATACATTTCATTACCATTCTATGCAATGTCATCAGTGCAACCTCTAATCGAAGCATTGGGTGTTCTGCTCCGTTCCGAATTTACATGATCCTCTGGTGTGGTGGGCCTTGTCACTTCCAGTTCTGTCTTTTTTTAAGCAGTGGTCTGTGTATGAGGTCTATTTCTATGTGTTTGTTAATGGAGTCCCACATTGAGAACAGGGCCTCCAGAAATTCCCTTGCATGTCTGTTGTTTGCTTGTCCCAGTATAGTCACTTTGTCCCAGTCGAACTGAAGGCCTTCATTGTCTGTGTGTATTGAGACAAGTGAATGTTGGTCATGTCTTTTTACTGCCAGCTGGTGTTCGTGTATCCTGGATGTCAATTTCCTCCCCGTTTGTCCAGTGTAATGTTTATTGCACTCGTTGCATGGGATTCTGTATATCATGTTAGTCCTGATTACTGTCAGTATGGGGTCTTTAGTCTTTGATAGCATTTGATGCAGTGTTGATGTAGGTTTGTATGCAATCATGATCCTGTACAGTCTAAGGAGTTTGATTGTCATTCCCAATATATTTTTGATGTAGGGTGGCATTACTCGTGTCTTCTGTTGTACTGTGCCCTCTGTCATTTGTTTTGTAGGCACTGGTGGACGAAACATCTTGGGTATCCATTGTCAGTAAATACTTCGTGCAGGTGTTCCTCTTCCATTCTCTGGAGTTCTGGGGTGTTGTGGTGCGATATGGCTTGTTTAAATAGTGTGTTAATGCAGCTCTGTTTATGTATAGTGGGGTGGTTGCTATTGAAGTTCAGGATTTGGTCTATGTGTGTGGCCTTCCTGTACACCCGGGTTCGGAATTTGCCACTCGTTAATCTCTCTACCACTACTTCTAAGAATGGGAGCTGTTTGTTGTTTTATTCCTCTCTAGTGAATTTTATGCTTGCAAAGATGTTGTTAACAAGTTGGTGGGTTTCTTCTACTTGTATGCGTTTGATTATTATGAATGTGTCGTCCATATATCTTATTTATGGATATATCAAAAATATATCAGAAATGACAACCAGACTCTTTAGACTGCATAAGATCATGATTGCATACAAACCTACATCAATATTGCATCAAATGCTATAAAAGACTAAAGACCCCATACCGACAGTAAACAGGACTAACATGGTATACAGAATCCCATGCAGCGAGTGCAGTAAACATTACTTTGGACAAACGGGGAGGAAATTGACAATCAGGATACATGAACACCAATTGGTAGTAAAAAGATACGACCAATATTCACTTGTCTCGATACACACAGACAATGACATCAGTTCAACTGGGACAAAGTGACTATACTGGGACAAAGTGACTATACTGGGACAAGCGAACAACAGACATGCAAGGGAATTTCTGGAGGCCTGGTTCTCAATGTTGGACTCCATTAACAAACACATAGAAATAGATGCTAAAAAAACAGAACTGGAAGTGACAAGACCCACCACACCAGAGAATCATGTAAATTCGGAATGGAGCAGAACACCAACACTTCGATTAGAGGTTGCACTGATGATGTTGCCTAGAATGGTAATGAAATGTCTGCACACCACAGAACAAGCAGCTCGGTGAGTTAACGAACGACTGCATCCCCAACCAAGCTACAAATTTTTGCTATGACCTTGGGTAATGACTGTCCACATTGTATTGTGAACATGAGAATTGGAATTCTAGCTCTAGAGGAATCTGTGTATGTTTACGTTAATGGACACTGTCTGTAAAGGGATGAAGCAATAAGATGAAATTTGAAAAGTCTCTGAATCTAAATATTAGGAATGAACAGCCATTGCATGATAGCATGTATAAAACTGAATTTTAATATTAACTGGTATGCACTTAATTTCTGGAAATTGTGTCAAGAGATTTAGTACACTCTTTGGGATTATGCCAATTGGATATTGATTAGTGGAGTAAGTTTAAAAAAATAGGAGATTTGCATTTAACTATGAGTAGTCAATAGTGCAATATTGTTGAATAAACTTGGTGAAAATAAAGGTAGGAAAGTGATTATTGATAACAGTCAATGATCAGTAGAGTTGAACAAGTTTAAGCTAGTCAGGAGGTTTAGAAATCAAGCCCCGCTCCATGACTTTAAGCTTATCACCCAGACTGTTGTTCGGATGAAGTAAAGAGGATGGCATTATTAACACTGTAGCTCTTTAGGTGAGGTATTAAACACCAGTCCTGTTTGTCTGTTCCAGCAGATATTAAATATCTCATGATACTCCAGTGAAGTGCAGGTATATCCCCAGAGTCCTTGTCATCAACTTTCGCTTAACCAAAGCTGCTAAAAACAGGTTAACTAATTATTCACCTTGTTGCTGTTTATAGAATCTCGTGTGAAGTATGGCTGAAGCATTTCCATGCTTAAGTCATTGCTCTTAAAAGTGATTCTTTGAATCACACTTATGATGTTTGTGAGATATGTGAGAAGGTACCTTTTTTTTTGTAAAATATTTTGAGCTTGATAAAATGTTGCAATTGTGGTGTATCAAACTTTTAAATTTCTGTAACTTAGTTAAAGTAGGGCAGAAGTAGTTTCGGCCTGATCAAAGTTTGTTTTCTGATTCTACCGCAAAGGAATAGCACCTAAGATTAGCAACCAGATGATAGAGAACCAGAGCATGTTTGTCTATAGGTGAGTTTGACTTTAGGCATTAATGAAGATTAGCTACAAGCATAGTGAAGATTAGCTACAAGCATAGTGGTGTTATGTTGCTTGAAGTTGAATGGCTATGTCTGAACATTGTTAGGGGCAGTGAAAACCTAGGAAGCATTATCGGACAAACCATGATAGAGAAACATGTTTGAAAAATGTTTTGGGGAAAAAACACTAAACAATATTCTAATGTTAAGGTTAAGTGCCTGAGCAAAGAAACAAAATATAGAATAAGAAACAAAAGACTTGTTTCAAGCAGTCATCCTGAACCTCTGGTGGCACCACCCCAGATGAGTTTGTGTATGTTTTAAAATGATGGCAATATTGCATATGTAATTGGTAATGGGTTGTGTAAAATCAAAGATTGGAGAAATCGTATTGGCTGTGTGAACTCTCTCTTTCCACCTGTCTGCTCCCTCCACAAACCCTATTAAAGGAAAAGGCCAAATACTTACCGAAATTGCTCATAAAATTGCCCATAATTTTGTTGTCAGGAAAATTGGCACCAATTTATTTGTGAAGTTATAGGCATATGATAGAGTCCCTGTTTTCACTTTTTGTTCCCTGCTAGGGTGAATGAACTATCAAACTAAAGCAGTCATAATTGCTTTTTAGATAATTATTAAAGACCTTGATATTTGCATAGAGTAATACTTCTACTACAGCTTGATCAGTGATTTCAACAAAGAAGTGTTTCAGCGGTTTTGCTAATGGTGCATAACATGTCTCAAAATGCTTAATTTGCTAAATATCATTGGTTCAATTTAACGTTTACTAAACCACTGTCTTTTCCAATTTGTTGAATTTCCTCAAGGAAATGTCTTACTCTTATTTCTTCATTACCAGTCACAGCGCTGTTAAGACATCAGTTTTGTTCTGGACCAGTCTAAGTGACAGAATAGCAGGAAATTGTACATTATTGTTTTTGGTGGGAAGGACAGTGCCATAATAATGCTTCAGCTAGTCTTGTGGTGCACAGGGTCCCAGGATCCTTGAATGGCATGAAAAGTGTCTTGAAACTTGTATGCAATAATTACGTGGAAAGTACAAATATGTTAAGTTCAGGACTGCAATGGGCCAGAATTTAAACATTTGATAGAGCATGTAGGAATGACATGTATGTACCAATAGAAGTTGCTGAGCAATGATGATAAGTAGTGACCAAGGGATTCAAGTTATCCGTTAATTGAATGTTTATTGAGATAAAACCATTAAAAAATGCCAACAGCATTTAAGGCTTTATAGACATGACCAGCATAGAATAATTGAGCAAATAAATAACAATGAATTTGAATACTGCATTGGTTCAACCACAGTTAGTTTGCTGCTCCTCAATTTGGATGCCATTCAAAGAATATAAAGAACATTAAATTGCTGGAAAGCATTGATTCACCAAGATAATGTGAGAAGTAGGAAGTTAATTCTGAGAAGAGTTTTGGCACATTGGGATGTGGTTAATAGAGGGCTGGGATGCAAAGGAGTGGATGTCAATAGTTGTGAAAACTCTGGTTAGATCCCATTAAAGGACCACATTCATTTCTTGGCACTGCATCTCTGGAAGGATTGATTTCGCTTGGATGGGGTACAACACAGATTCATCAGAATGAGAATAGTACTAAAGGGTGAAATTATGGGGACAGGTTGTCAAGACTGAGCTGCTGTTCCCTTGGCCATAATGGACTAAGTTAATTAAATGATTTGATAGGATGGAGAACTGTTAATTACTCGAGAACTTAACAGAAGTGGGGGCAACAATAATGCCCTTTTGAGCTGGTGTGTTCAGGAGTTATGTCAGGAGATATTACATCACATAAAAGGTAGTATGAAACCGGAACTCTTGAAGCTCTTTTGGTGCAGTGATAGTGCCTCTGCCTCTCTGCCGATGAGCCTGGGTTGGGGTCCTACTTGTGTCAGAGGTA